ATTTTAAATAAATTGATGTGGGTGGAAATTTAAAAAGTAAAGCTTGACTCACATCATATTTAAAAGATAACCAAGCCAATTGCTGCTATCCAGTCCATCCCAACTCCCAGTAAAGTAGCACTGTTGTTGGTAGATACCATTGAGTCCACTGATTCATAGTGACCTTGGGAATAACAGATACGGATACCATTGAGTCCACTGATTCATAGTGACCCTGGGAATAACAGATACGAATCTTGCACTATCTTGCTCTGTCTTCAGAGTCTCTGCCATACTAAAGTCCATGGTGGTGGTCACTGTTTGAACTCAGCTTATTGAAGGTCTTTCTCTCTATTCCTGACTGTCAACCTTTTCTAGTATAATATCTCTAAGGACTGGTACCTCCTAAAAATATACCCCCCCCCAAGAAAGTGTGATGAAGTGTTAGCATCCAAAGGTACAGCAACCGTAGAGGAGAGTAAATTTGCCCTGTAAATCTGTTGTATTGTAGTGGCTTGTGTATTGTTAACAATGCTGGAAAATATGCATCTGGTATTTTTTTAAAAAACAGCCCAGCAGGATCACCCATATGGACAAATTTCAGCCGAGCTTCCCGATTAAGAAAGTCTGGAAAGAAGGACCTGGTGACCTACTAAAACCTTAGCTAGGGAAAAGTTTATGAATAGTGCCAGAACATTGCCTTAAATAGTGCAGAAGATGAGTCCCTCAGACTAAAGGACAGAGGAAGAGCTGTCTCCTCAAAGTGTGCTATTGTTAGGTGCCACAGAATCAACTATCATTCATCGCAGCTCTATGACAATAGATTGAAACTTGCCTATCCTGCACCATCGTCACCATCCCTGATATGTTTGAGACATTGCAACAGTCATTGTGTTAGTCTATTTTGTTGGAAGTATTTCATTCTTTGTTGGACTCTCCACTTTTCCAGCATGATGTCTTTTTCAAATGCCAGACCCCTTCTGACAACCTCCTCAAAGTATGTAAGTAGAAGTATTATCATCCTTGCCTTTAAGTAGCACCCTGGTTGTACTTCTCCAAGAGATTTGTTTCTTTTGTGTTATTTTTTAGCTGTCTATGACCATGGACTACCAAAAGAACAAGTGGATATGTTTTGAAAAAAGTACAGCCAGAGTGCTCCTTGGAGGCAAAGCTGGCGAAGCTTTGGCTCATATACTTTGGACATATAGCTGTTGTTGTTGTTTTTAGTTGCCATCAAGTCAATAAAGCACAACCCTATGAACAAAAGATCTGAACCCTTTTCTATCCTATGCCATCCTCATACTTACTGATGCACAAGAGCCCATTGCAACAGTCACCGTGTCAGTCTACCTAGTTGAGGGCCTTCCTCTCATTGCTAATCCTCCGTCCTTTGCAGGATCATGTCCTTCTCCAAGGAATGAGCCCCTCCTAGCAAAATGCCCAAAGTGTGTGAGGCAAAGCCTTATCATTCTTACCTCCAAAGAGCTCTTTGGCTGGACCCTTACCTGTTTTTGACTTACCTGTTTTTCCTCTTGGCCATCCATGGGATGTTAGTGCTCTTCTCCAATACCACAGCTCAAAGGCATCAATTCTTTTCCTGTCACCCTTATTTCTTGTCCAGCTCTCAGATGCATAGCAAGCAATCAGAAAGACTATGGCATGAATCAGACACACCTTCTTCTTCAAACTGACATCCTTACTCCTCAGTAATTTGGAGAAGTAACTGACTGCAAACCAATTCCTTGGAAATTGACATCATATTTGAAAAGATAGAGGGTCAGCAAAAAAAAGGAAGACCCTCAATGAGACGGAATGACACAGTGAATACAGCAGTGGGCTAAAGTGCGTCAGAGTGGATGAGGATGGCACAGGATAGGACAGGATTCAGGTCTGTTGTTCATAAGGTTGCTGTGAGTCTTATTTGATGCAATAGTACCTAACAACAACATGGCATATTCGTTATACTCCAACACAACTCAAAGGCATTGACTCTTTTTCTGTCATCCTGATAGGAATGGAATAAAACTTTTAGAACCTTAATTTGTTGATATGGTACAACTTAAAATGAGAAGAAACATTAATAATCAGAATGTGGAAAGCATGAAGTATAAATCTAGGGAAAGGAGAAATGATAAAAAGTGAAATGAAGTGCTCGGAGATAGGTATTCATGAACTGAAATAGACAAGTAATGGCTACTAAGGGCACAGAAAGTAGGGGGGAAAAGCAGTAATCAAGAAATCAAATAACATATTTCATTGGGAAAAATCTCTTTAAGGTGATTCAAAGCAAAGAAGCCTTAGATGCACCTAATCCAAGCTATGGTATTTTCTGTCACTCATGTATGTGAAAGGTGGGCAGTGAATAATGAAAATTTAGTAGGAATTTATGAATTTTGAAGGATGGTCTTGATAATAATATTGACTAACAGGAAAAAAAATTAAAAATCAGTCTGGGAAGAAGTACACTAACGGAAATGTTCCTTAGGAGCTCTTTAGTAAGGATAGTAAGACTTCATCTCACATGCTTTGGACATATCCGGAAGCACTAATCTCTGGAGAAGGACATCATGTTTGGCAAAGTGGAGAGCCAGTGAAAAGAGAACCCTCTTTTAGATCAGATGACCTAGATAGGGCTGCAGTAGATAGGATGTCATGAAGATGACACAGGACTAAGAAGGTTTTTTTTTTTTGTTTGTTTGTTTTTTATTTTGTGTGTGTGTACCATCAAATCAGATCTGACTGGTACAGGAGGATATTGCACCTCCTTCTCCGGCAGAGCATCTGGTGGATTCGAACCATGTTCCTCTGGGATTGCTGTGCAGCTTCTTGCCACTAGGCCACCAGAGCTCCCCCAGGACTAAGAAGTTTCATTCTGTTGTAAGGTCACTATGAATGAAAACGGACTAGAAGGCATAAAGAAAACAAAGATTGTCAATACTGGGCCAATTGGCAGCACCATGACAAATGGAAAAGAGATGGAGATTGTTAACAGCTTCAGCTGGCTTGACTCCACAATCTACATTCTTGGTGCCAGCAGACAGGAAATAAAAAGACAAATTGCATTGGGAAAATCTGCTGTCAGGGACTTCTTCAGAGTACTGATGAACAACAATTTCAGTCTAGAGACTAAGATGTGCCTGGAACCATGGTCTTCACAATTACTTACTATGCATCAGAGAGCTGGACAATGGCTAAGGATGATAGAAGAAGGATTGATGCCTTTGAGTTGTGGTGCTGGAGAAGAGTAATGAGTATACCATAGACTGCTAAGACAATAAACAGGTCTGAGAGAGGATGAAACCAGGCTGCTCCTTGGAGACAAGGATTTTGAAGCTCCCTCTCACATACTTTGGGCATGTTGCTAAGGAGGGACCAGTCCTTGGAAAGGGACATCATGCTTGAAAGCATGGCGGAACAGTGCAAGAGAGGAAGACTCTGAATGGGGTAATGGTAATAGGTTTGTCAGAGACAATGAAATTGACTCAAGATAGAATAGACTTCAAAGATGTTGTGGTCATTATGAATCGCTTATGAATCCCACACACCTTAATGGCATATAACAATAATTACATATTGTTGTTGTTATGTGTTCTCAAGTCGCCTGCGACTCATAACAACCCTATGTATGTTTGATCTTAAAGTTACCCTATCTCCGACAGACCTAATCCCATTGTTCCAGTCACTGAGTCAATCCTCATCCTGGGTCTCCCTCTTCTACCCTATCCCTCCACCCTACCAAGCATGAGGTCCCTTTCCAAGGACTGGTCCCTCCAGGCCACTCGCCCAAACTATGTGAGATAGAACTTCACTATCCTTGCCTCCAGGGAGCAAACTGGTTTCACCCTCTCCAGAGCAGACCTATTTGTTCTCCTGGCAGTCCACGGTATGTTCAACACTTTTCTCCAGCACCACAACTCAAGGGCATTGATCCAGCTTCTATTATCCTTAGTTATTGCCCAGCTCTCTCAAGGATAGCAAGTAATTGTGAAGTCAATGGCCTGGTTTAGGCGCACCTTAGTCCCCAGACTGACATCGTTATTCTTCAGTACTCTAGAGATGTTCCTGACAGCAGACTTTTCCAATGCAATTTGCCTTTTGATTTCTTGATTGCTAGTGCAACATGTAGTACAATTTACTAATGATTCAGTACCAAGCAGCAACAAAAGGGTATGTAAGCGCAGTTTGTTCCAACTCGATTACATAATAAGTCAGGGACTACCTGTAAATATTTGGAATTTTCCATATTATCACTGAAACTCATTGCCTGTCTGTCTAGTCGGTGCAATTGGTTTTTCAAGGTTGCACATGTTAACGGGAGGAGACTGATCACTCGCTCTCCTTCAAATCCACTGGTGGATTTGAGCCGCTAGACACATAAACCCTTGTGGGTTTATGTATAATATAACTTGGAGTTCTCCATTAGAGCTTTCTTTTCATATACTATCTTTTTAAAATACTGATCAGAATATATAGTTCTGACTTACTGACATTTCCTAGTTGAAGTTCAGTAACTCACAGACTTAAGGGGAGAAAGAAGGCAAAGAGGTGCTTCATTAGCTGTGGTTGTTAAGTGTACTTAAATGAAACTGACACTGGAAGAGATTGGTCATCTATAACCCGCCAAGCTGCTCTTGGACTTGAGCCTCTTGTCTTTGAATTGGCAGGGCAACTTTTTACCTCCTATGCCACCAGAGCCTCATCCTACTGCGCCATCTACCGTCCTGTATACAGGCACGCCCTTCCCTCAGATCACCACTTTGCAAGTTCACTAATTATGCTCCTCCCTATTATTTTTTTTTCCGAAACTGGGTCTCTTAGTCTGTCAGAAACTACAGTTCCCAGAAGATCATGCAAAAGTGGAAAAAAAAAAAAAAAAAAAAAAAAAAGCCCAACCCACCACAGCACCAAAACCCATGGTGGGAGTGAGGAACGATCGCGAGAGTCTGAGGTTCAGGCGGCTGCGCGAAGCGGGTGGAGGGCGGGCGGAGAGAGTGAGGAGGAAGAGGAGGAGGTACCGTCCCACAATACCAGGCGGGAGGGCGGGTGGGCGGTGTGTATCCGGGCTGTGAGGTGCTTGGAACCTCCGCGGACCGTGCAGCCGCTGTCTCTTTAACGCGAGAGGAAGCGATGCGGAGGGGTGGAAAATGGCAGAGCTGCAGATGTTACTAGAGGAGGAGATCCCGTCTGGCAAGAGGGCGCTGATAGAGAGTTACCAGAACCTGACCCGGGTGGCGGACTACTGTGAAAACAACTACATACAGGTGAGGAGCGCGGGCGGGCGCTGGCCGGGCCGAGGACCCGCCGCCGGCCGCCCCAGTGACCAGCCCACCGGGAGGGGTGGGGAACTGCCGAATCTCAGTCTCTGCTTCAACCCCAAACCCTAACCCCAACCCCAACCGCCCCAGCCACTAAGGAAGCAAGTGGCAGGGTTGAGCGAGCCGGGCTGCGATACAGGAAGTGGCTCTGGTGGTGGAAACCCATAGAAGGGGAGAGAAAATGGGCGAGGGAGCCGGGCGCCCGCCGCAGCGGGCGGCCCCCCGGACGTGCGCCTTCCCGCGGGCTCGACCCCTCGGGTCTCGGCGGCGCTCGGCAGCTCCGGGTCGCGGCGCTGCTGTCTCGGGGACCCGGCTCCCGGCCGCTGTCTCTCGGCGCGGAGAGAGGTCTACATGGGGCAGAAGGGAGAAGGGCAGGGGACGGGGCTCAGGGAGAAGCTGCAGAAGGGAGCGGAAAAGCGGGGTGTGCGTCGGGGGAGGGTGGGGTGGGGGCGATTATGTCAGTTCGACCCAGAGGGTGTGTCTCTTATTTATTTATTAAAAAAAAATTGTCATGAGTCACATTACACAGACCTCCCCGAGGAGAGGAGGAAGCGGGTGGGGTGTAAGGGAGGACGTTAGAAGTTAATCTTAAAATTCCTTTAATTGAAGGTTTGTAAATCTGCCTGCCTGTTCGTTTTCGAGTCGGGGTTTTTTCTCCCCCCTCATCATTTTCACTTCCGTTCCACTCTGATGTAGTCTAGAGGTTGTTAGGGCTATCGTTGTCATAAAACACGAATTATTCTTAATTGCTTATAGAAAGATTGTAAGCAAGACATTGTAAAATACTCTTTCTTCCCCTAAAAGTTCTCAGACTGTTAGCTTCCTAAGTAACTCGAAACAGAATGGTGTAATAATAGTTTTCTGTGGTTTCTTTCCCACCTTCATAAATGTGTATACTATGAATTCAGACACATTGAACCAGAACGCAAAATAGCTGTTTGCTGTGGATTTATTAGAAAATTCTTGGGACCTTATCTGTGACAGATGCTTGTTTGTTTTCATTTTATTGATTGAAAGTGAATTATGTGTATGGTGGTTTGGTTTGTAGATCGTTAACTGTGTAAACCAACAGTTTGTAGTAGAAGCGAATAAAGTAGCAGAGCCATTTACATCAAGAGAATGACAAGCATTTGCTTGTTATTGGTTATTGTTGCTGTAACAAAATGTCCTTTGAAAGTTTAGGGTTATTGCAGTTCGGAACTTAAGTATATTTAGAAACGCCTGGTCGGGATCATCATTTTTAAGAGCCAATAGATTCTGTGTTGGCAAATGTGTTTCCTCTTTATTTTTAGAGGAAGATACTGTTTTCAGAATATTTTAAATATTTCTCAATTTCCATTATTAGTAACATTGTATCTTCAGTAGCACTACTAAGGGAGGATCCCCCCAGCTTTTACTTTAAGAACTCTGCTGATAGGTAAACTTGTTGAATGCTTTGCCACATCTCTTATATTGCTTGTTTTTGTAAACCTTAACTTTTAAAAGAAGTTTAGGGTTTTTTTTTTTTGAGCTGTTGTAGAGGTAGCTATCATTTACAAATAAAGGAAACATGATTTTGTAGTTTATCAGACTGAAAAATAACATCTTTTATTCAAGTTAGCATGAAAAACTTTGAAATTGATGTGAACCCTAATTTTGTGGAAGATTTTACAGATTTTTTTTTCTTTAAACTTAAAATTAGAGCATCCAGAGAGAAAATGCCCTTGTTCTGGAAAGGCCATTTCTTCTCTACAACAATCAGTAGATAAGTACTTCATCAAGGGGAGGCTCCTTTTTGCATGTTGGGAAATCTGACAAGTATATGGTGTGGTAACTGCTACATGCTGGCAGCAGTTGGTAGCTGCAAACGTGTTTTAACCTGTTTGTTGACCATTTTTCCCCAGATAGTTTTATGCTGTGAAGGCTTTTCTTTTTTTCAGACGCTTTTTCTCTCATCATTGTGCAACTATAAAGCTCTCTTTAAACTTCACTGGTACTTTCCCTAATTATAGTTAAACCATAACCAAACCTACCGCTGTGGAGTAGATTCTGAATCAGCAACACTCCAGGAATTTCTAAAGCTGTAAATCTTAAAGGGAGGAGATTGCCTAATATCTGTCTCCTGTAGAGTGGCTAGTGAAATACGACTGAAGATCCTTCAGTTAGTACCCCAACACTTAACATACTATTCCACCAAGGAGCATTCTATTTAAAATGTCATGTTGTTTCTTAATAGTCTTTCACTTTCTAAAATATTAATACAGTGGTGTTATGAGTCACTGCTGGTGGCCCCATGGTTTGTTGTGTTGATTTGGGGTTTTTTTCTTTTTGTTATATGCCTTCAGGTCACTTGTGACTCATTGCAACCTTGTATACAACAGCTCTGAACCCTGCTCTGTCCTATGCTAGCCTTACTGTCTCTGACACACCCACACCCATTACTCCAGTCACTGAATCAGTCCATCTCATTGAGGGTCTATCTCTCTTGTGCTGTCCCTCTTTCTTTTCAAGCATGATGTCCCTCTCCAAAGACTGGTCTCTCTTTGCAACATGGCCAAAGTATGACAGATGAAGCTTCAGAATACTTGCCTCTAAGGAGCAGCCTGGTCTTACCCTCTCCAGGATGAACCTGTTTGTTCTCCTGGCAGTCCATGGTATATTCAGTACTCTTCTCCAGCACCACAGCTCAAAGGCATCAATTCTGTATCATCTCTAGTCATTGTTCTGCTTTCTGATACAGAGCAAGTAATTGCGAAGACCATGGCCTGGATCAGGCACACCTTAGTCACCAGATTGACATTGTTGCCCTTAGGTACTCTGGCGAGATCCCTGACAGCAAACTTTAACAGTGTAATTCGTCTCTTGATTTCCTGGCTGCTGGTACCAAGGGTATTGATTGTGGAGCCAAGCAAACCAAAGCTGTTAACAATGTCAATCTCTTCACTGTGTATTATGATGCTGTCAATCCACACAGTGGTAAGAGTCTTCTTGATGTTGAGCTTCACTCCATATTTAAGGCTGCAGTTCTTGACCGTCTGCAGCAAGTGCTTCAGGTTCTCAGTTTCAGCAAGCAGGGTTGTGTAATCTACATAATGCTGGTCGTTGATGAGTCTTCCTCCAATCCTGATGCCACATTCTTCCTCAAAGAGCCCAGCCTCCCGGATGATCTATTATGCATATAGATTGAAAAGGTATGGAGGGAGATAGGACACATCCTTGCCATTCACCCTTCCTAATTTTGAGCCATGCAGTGTTTCCTTGCCCTTTTCTGATGACTGCCTCCTGGTTCCAAGTATTAGTGAAGCTAAATTTGATTCCTCTGTGGCACAAGTACTTTGCACTCAATCATTAACTGAAAAGTTGGCTGTTCAAAGCCATTTTTGGAGGAAAGCTCTGGCTATGTGCTTCTGAAAAGGTTACAACCAAGAATATTCTGTGAAAGCCAGTTTTGCTCTGCAACCCTGGGTCTCCATGAGTTAGAATTAGCTAGATACCAATTAATTAGTTAAGAAAAACTTGACTCCAGTCAGGCATTCTGTTGTTAACTGCTGTTGAATCAGTCTCGCACACATGGTGGCCCTGTGCATAAGAGTGAGGTATTTATAGACCTGCACCATCCCCAGATTTGTTAGGAATGGAACTGTTGTAATTCATAAGATGGTTTTTTTTTTAAGTAGATTGCTAGACTTTTTTTCTTGTCTGTCTTAGTCTGGTACCTCTACTGAAACCTGGCATCATAGCAACATGCAGTCTGCTACCCACAGGTGTCAGATGGTAGATGCACATGAGATGCATTTGTTAGAATCAAACATAGGTATCCTGCATGGAAAGAGAGAATTCTACCACTGAACCTGAACCTTCTGTAATGGGGAGTGATGGTATTGTTATACACTGTCAAGTTGGAACCAGATCACAGCTGACCTTCCAGTGGGTTTTCAGAGGCATGGAAGGAGATTGCCCATCATTCACTTGCAGAGCAGCTGGTAGATTTGAATTATGTGCCTTTGGTTTGGCAGTATAGCACCTTGGTACTAGGCCACTGAGCTCAGACAGGGGGCAGTGTTGTTGTCATTATGTGCCATCAAGTCACCTCCTACTCATAGCATGGCCTTATGTATATTAGTTCTGAACCCTGTCCTATCATGAGCCACTCTCACCATCTCTTGAGAGACTTAAGCCCATTTCTCCAGTTACTGAGTCAGTCTACCTGGGTCTTGCTCTTCTGCACTGTCTTTCCACCCTTCCAAGAATGATGTCCTTCTCTGAGGACTGGTTTCCTGGCCCTGTGCCTAGAGCTTTCAAATCTTTGCTTCCAGGGAGTAGCCTGGTTTCACCTTCTCCAGGACAGACCTGTTTGTTCTCCTGGAAATCCACAGTATGTTCAACACTCTTTTCCAGCAACATAACTCACAGGTATTGATTCTTCTTTTATTATCCTTAGTTATTAGCCAGTTCTCTGATGCTTAGCAAGTAATTGCGAAGACCATGGCCTGAATCAGGCAAACTGCAGTCTCCAGACTGATATCGTTGCTCTTCAGTATTCTAGAGAGGTTCCTGACAGCTGACTTTCCCAGTGCAGTTTGTCTTTTGATATCCTGACCGCTGGTGCCAAGAGTGTTGATTGTGGAACCAGGCAAGCTGAAGTTGTTAACAGTCACAGTCTCTTCTCTGTCAGTCATGAAGCTACCAATTGGCCCAGTGGAGGGGGTGGTAGGGGAGATGAATTCCCATACAGCAATGATTATTGTAATATTTAACTCATTCACTGCTGGCAAGTTGGTTCCAACGCATAGCAGCCCTCCATCAGGTTTCTGAATTAGTAAATTGCAGTGGGAAGAGATTGCCTATCATTCACCTGTGGAGCTACTGGTGCTTTTAACTTAGGCTTGCATGATTCAGGTCTTTTGATTCAGCTGCCTTGGGATGGGCTTCAGGCAGGGTGAAGGTGGTAAAGAGAAGACTTTTGT